CGCCCCCCCCCCCCCCGCGCCCCACAACATCGCTCACCTCAGCGACTGTGCAGAAGTAGTGCGGCTGCTGAGCCGTGCTGCCCACTCGTCGTACGCGGGTGCAGAGGTGCTTCCCCCAGGCGCGGAACTCCGACTGAGTGCGATCGTCGGGGACCCGCCTGCCGCCCTGCTCTGCGGGCAGGTGTGGTGCCGCGTCGTCCTCCTCAGAGGCGTCGTCTTCCCACCGGGTGGCCTGCGGATGGAACAGTGGGTCGAGCTCCACCCATGCTGCACACAACACCCATCCACACAGTACACATACATCCCGGTGTGGCTGATCTGGCCATACCGGGTAGGGCCACGGCCTCGTTGTCATTCGTGCGGCGGATGACACGGCCGTCGGACTGCGTCTGCTCCAATGCCAGCTGCAGCGGTGACTTGGATGCTGCCGCTGCTGCTGCTGCTGGTGGGTCAACGGCCATGGGCTGGTCATCATCCTTCTCCTCAGACGCCGCTGCTGCTGCTGCAGCTGTGGCCTGGGGGGCTGCTGCTGCTGCTGCTCTCTGACGCTTCTGGATGGCCTTGTGGGACACCGACTTGGGGTTGGGCTGTGCGGCCTTGGATGAGTCGGTGCGCTTGGTCGTCTTGACAATCCACGCATCAAACACCTGCAGAAAAAGAAACACACAACACATGTGTTGATGCCATGCCAACCAACACACGAGTGGATCACCGACCGAGCGGGAGCTGAGCGCTTGGTTGGCGACGAGTCGGTCGGTTGCACACACGGACGACTTGGCGCATGTAGTGATGGTGCGGTCTGTCAAGCCCGACTCCGCCTGCCATGCTCTGGTGTGGGCATGATGAGCACTGATACCCTCAGAACGGACTCGCGCCTGAGGAGACACAAACACACACAACACACCCGACGTGAGTTGTGTGTCTCCTCAGGCGCGAGCTCCAGTTATCTCACGTCGGGTGCCTCGATGTGCTTGTGGTGAGTTGTGAGGCGCTGAGCTCTCTTGAGCAGGTTGGTGCGTACGGTGTCACACTCCGGCAGGAACACAAACTGACAAGCAATGAAGAGAGACACAGTGAACAAGTGATGTCCTGCAAGAGACATGTCAGTTGAGTGTATGTGTGTGTGAGTGTGTGTGTGTGGTGGACCTCATTGTTGCCCAAGGTAGAGTTGACGCTCACTTGGGTCTGGTCACACAAACAGGGCACCTGAGAGTGAGACAACACAGACATACACACAGCCACAGTGACACTGACAGTGTATGTCCACTCTTCCTCCCCTCAGTCACACATACCGAGTCACACTGAGCAGAAGGACGCGCGTCACCCGACGCAAACGCAGCAACACACACACCTGCGCCGAGCAGAAGGACGCTGGTGTTGTTGTGCCCACTGTGGCGGAGTGTGTGAGTCCAGTCATGAGACACAGAGAGTGCAGGTAGCAGAGAACGAGAAGAGGGAAAGCGAGAACAGAGTGCTGAGAAGGCGGAAGAGAGGCGGAAAAGATGCATGAATGGTGGAGGAGGTCCAGGGGACGGCTGCGACCTCTATACAGCACCGGACGGGTCTCGCGCTTACTTGCTGATTCTCTCTTGTCTGTGATTGCGGCAGTGAGTCAGTGCTCTCTGAGTGTGTGTGACACAATCAGCGGCTCTCTCTGTGAGTGTGTCGCACATGCATTGTGTACAGACAATCGATCGTGTTTGTGTCATATGTACACATGTATTCTCTGTGAGTCACTAGACCTGACACATCAGGCAAACATCGACAGATGGCAAACATCGACATAGAAGTGTCCGCCAGATAACAAAGGAATGCATCGACCGTCTGTCTGCCATGGCTCGATCGGAAGTCATAGTCGCCCTCACCCAGCCGACTCGAGTAGTCAGGCTCATACACCTGCCGGCCGAAAACTCCATACTTGCGTGCGGGCATCTCGAGTCTCTCTTGGTGGTACGACATTTGCTGCGTGTGTGATGGTCTGGATGAGCGCTGCGGGCGGCTCGAAGGACTTGGACGCCTCCAGACCTGCAACGACACAATATATGCCTTCTGCACAGGCGTCACCGACGCCCTGCTGGCCTGCGACAAACACACGGACACATCCAGCTGCAGACCCACAACCACACACATGTGCAGCAAATGGAGATCTCGCCGGGGTCTTTTGGTGTCTTCCTGCCCACCTGGTGAACAGTGACCTTTCCCTTGATGCCGTTCTGCGTGTCAGCTGTGCCGGATGCGAGCGCCTTGAGCTCCTTGGCGCCCTGCGGATCTCGGCATGTGGCAATCACCGTGTGGCCCATGAACACAAAATGCTTCGTCAGAGCCAGGCCGATGCCTCTTGACGCCCCCGTGACCAGCAGTGTCTGCATGATTTGCGAAAAGAAGCGGTTCGGTGCTCGAAAACGTCTGCGAGCTAAGCTCAATGGGGAGTGTGAATGCGGTGGTGGCTGCTGCCTACCTGCATCTCTCTCGCGAGCGCCTTCATTCAGCTGAGGCCGCAGACAGCACCTGCGCCATTGCTGAGGTCAGCGAAGCGCCCGGCCTGCAAGGCAGCCGCCGCTGGAGCAGCTGCTGCAACAGATCCAGATGCAGCCGACGTGCAGACAGCAAAGATGCAGACGCAGACGATCTTGATAAGTGGCTGCTCTCGAGGAATCGGCCTGGCTCTGACGAAGCATTTGATATCAAAAGGCCACACCATCGTCGCCACATGCCGAGATCCACAGGGTGCGACGGAGCTCAAGGCGGTCGCCGACTCATGCAAGACGAATAGCACGCAGGACGGCAGCAAGGGGCGGGTCATCGTCTACCCGGTAACAGGCCGATCACGGCACTATGTGTCCATGTGGGTGACCTGTTTGTTGTGTGTTGGATGCAGCTTGACGTCGGCAGCTCAGAGTCGATTGCCGCTGCCAGGGCGAGCATGGAGAGGGACGGCATCGACACAATCGACTGCCTGATCTGCAATGCCGGTACACACACACCATGGAGGCTGTCTGTCCGGCCATCGCTGCATGCTTGTTCCGCTGTCCCCGTGTTTGTCTTTGTGTGTGCGTCAGGCGTCACTGTCCACGGCGATCCCCCCCAGACCTGTGACCGTGCGGCCATGCTGCACGTGTTCGACGTCAATGTGTGCGGTGTGCTCGACTGCATCCAGACATTCACACCCCTACTGCGGCGGTCATCCAGGCGGCTGGTGGTCGTCATCTCCTCGCGCGCCGGCTCATTGTCGATGCACCGAAGGGGTTCCATCACCAGCTACCGATGCTCCAAAGGTGCGCTTCGCCCTCAGACACACGACATGAAAATTCAACGAATCCCATCTGTCGGTGGTGTCTGCGTGTCCGTGCATGGGTGCAGCTGCGGCCAACATGCTGGTCAAGAATTTCGCGCTAGAGGAGTCCAAGAATGACACCGACGGCATCACATTCATTTCTGTGCATCCTGGCACGGCCGACACCGAGATGGGTCGAGCAGGGGGTGCGCCGCTGGAGCCGCTACTGCCCGTCGACGAGAGCGCTGCTGGAATAGCCAAGATAGTGGAGGAGGCTGGCAGAGAGGACAACGGGAGGTTCCTGCAGTGGGACGGCCAAGAGCTGACTTACTAGCTAATGCTCTGGGCTAGATGGATGGCTGACTTGGGCTTTCGCGCTTGGTGTGCTGGCAAGCGTGCCGCTCTCGTGTATTCGTCCTTCGTCAAGTGAAGTACTCGCGCGCGATGCAGGTTTGCCGCTGTCTGATCAGGTCAGCGGCTGCCAACATCGCGGGAGCGCAGGCACTGCTTGATGAAGGCGACACTATGAGAGCGAGGTTCAAAAATTCGGCTGATTGTATCGTCGAAAATGGGTGCATTCGATGGAGAAATGGAGAAATGCTGCATCTATCTGTGTGGTGATACCTCAAGAGAGCTTTTGGAGCTGCCGTGGTGCAGATTTGATGTGCATATGAAAGACAGCAGCTGCATCTGACCTGAATGGACGAGTGGTGTACATATCTGTGGCCATGGCAGAGCCGTCATCGATCGGTTGAGACGTAAGTATCTACGCCACACGAGAGCTCGAATCATAGGCCCACCTTACATTACATCTCAAGCGGCAGATGGATGGATGAGCGCACTTGTGTGTGTGGCAGCTCGAAGCGTTTTGAACGCTGTGGCAAATCAATCAGCTGTCGAATCCAACCGACACCTCATGCATGCAAGAAGGTCTGTCTGCACACAGCCAGCCATGCACATGCAGCATCCATCCACGGCCAGCGGAGCTGCCATCCATCCATCCATCACCTGGCCATACAGGTGGAGAAGAACACAGAACATGCTCTCAACTCAAGTGGCTGAGTCAGGAACTTGTGTGCTGCCCCAGTGAGTGCCAGAGGCGGCGAGCAAGCACAGAGAGAGCGATGTGCTTGAGAGTGAGAGAGAAAGCTCACTAAACGAACGAGCAACCAACCCCGCCATCCATCCATCCATCCATCTGATTCGATTGTATGCACAAAGACAGTAGACAGCCGGCCATTCCCTCGCGCGTGCTGTCCACTTCCAACACGCACGAGAGTGCATCCAGACGAGCAGAGTGAGTCAGTAAGTGGGAAGCGATGCGGCAAGAAAGCCGGTGGGGTGAGATGGGATGGGGTGAGCATTGCATTCCTTGCATTGTATCGATCTGTACATGCCATGCAGCCGGCCCCCCTATAGATAGCTTGGACAAACAACACCACACCACACCTCCCACGGATGGATGCGCAAAAGCAGCCGTACGCACGATGAGTGTACATGTCAATCAAAAACAATAGTGGTATGGTACACGGTGTGGCTTCGGCTTGGAGCGGAAGTACGTGTATGTCCGCTGCCTGCAGAAGCGGCCCCACACGTGCATCCATGACCGACCGACGGACCGACCTATTCTGACCCGCCCTTGCTCTCTTCCTGTCCTTACAAACAAATGCACTTGCTCATCCTCTCTCGTGCGGCGTTGGTTGTCTTTACACACACACACACATACATACATACATATGCACAGATAGATCGTCTTGTACGTGCCATCTATCCCCCTGTCCATCCACAGCCATCCACACCTCTCCCTCCCCCACGCACGCACCCCTCATCCCCTCATTCCCTCATTTCCGCCTCACTTTCACAGTCACCGCCCCGTCCACCTTGCGCATCTCCGCCATCTCTTGGTCGATCTCATCACCGGCCCCTGCACCAGCATCAGCATCATCGCCGATGGGCACGTGCCCCCCCAGGACCAGCCGCATCATGCTGTCAAACAGCTTGGACACATCCATGAACCATGGCAGCCCTCGGGTCGACGCCTCCTGTTGCTGCTGCTGCTGCTGCTGCTGTGACCCCGCCGCCTCCTCGATGACCTCTCGCACGGCCTGCTCAGAGGCTGATGGTGGTCCAGGGGTCGGCCGCCTCAGCACAGGGCGCTGCTGCTCTGACATGCCCTCCGCCCGCTCGACCCGAATGAGCACGTGGTGGGCGTCCTCTCGCTCGATGGTCACCCCATCTGAGGGCGTGACGTCCACTGTGTAGCCGGATGGGTAGTGGAAAGCCTCGTTGACGAAGATGATGGTCGGGGCGGAGATGGACGCGTTGGGGACGAACACCATGTCGAAGGCAGCGGTGGAGGGGTCATACCGGAAGGCAAGTAGCTGCCCCGCGACGGCCTGGGGGTAGGTGCGGCTGAGGCATTTGACCTTGTTGAGTTGGAGGGTGCCGTTGTGGCCTTCGTAGATGCCCTCCTCGCTCCAAGGGTTCTTGTAGTTCCAGTATGCCCACGACAGCATGTGGTGGTCGGCTGACGAGAGGAGGGGGTGGAGGGACATGAGCGCCTCATCCGACGAGCCGACGGCCCCGAACTCGGTGATAAACGGCAGCACATTATCGCCCATCCGGTGCACGTCACGCTCGGCAGACTCTGAAGACACGCACCATGGACACCGCAGTGGTCTGTCTCCTTTTCCCTCTGTCACCCACTCAGGTGCATTTCTTCGGTAAGCTTGCAGAATCCCCGCTGCACGCTGGCCGGCATGGCGCCGGGGCTGTCTGTCGGCGCGCAGTATGGGTGGATAGAGTAGACGCTGCCGGGGTCGTCTGACGGCAGGTGGAGGGGGTTCTTGGGGAAGCCCCCGTCTACCAGGTTGACCGGCACCTTCCCAAAGAACAGAAGATGGTCAGGGTCCCTCTCCCTGATGGCCTTGGCGAGCCGCCTGTAGAAGGGCACCAGGTTCTGACGCTCAGACCGACCCGGCAGCATCAACAGATCTGTTAGAGCCACATGACACACATGCTCGTTTGTCGCTCTCTGTCCATGCGTCTGCGTACGTACCAGGTTTGCTGATGTAGTCGCCATACCACGGCTCGTTGATGAGCTCAAAGCCGAGCACCGAGGGCACGTCTTTGAAGGCGGCCGCCGCCTCGCGCCAGACGCCCTCGAACCCCTCCAGCAGTCCCCCCTTGTCGTCGTATAACGCCTGGAAAAGCTTGGACACCCGAGCCGAGAAGTATAGCATGAAGAAGAACACGTTCTTGCACGTGTGGGCCAGCTCGAAAGCATGACCAGGCAGGGTGAGGTCCGTTGTGTCGTTGGCATTCTCGTTCTGCTCGGCACCGGGGATGGGCACGGGAATGGGGAAACTGACACGACAGACAAACACACACACGGAGAGGCAGGCAGGCAGGCAGGGAAAGATGGGAAGATCAGAGCGCATGAGCTTGTGATGTGAGCGGCCTACTGTGGCACATGGTCGAAGTGTTCCGTTTCGATGCGGTCGACGTAGAACTGAGGCATGCCGTGACCGCTGCATCAAGCACACAGACACCCACACACATACATACACAGGCATGAAGCAATGCAGGTAAGGTAGATCAGCATGGCCGGCATGTGTGTGTGTGTGCTTGTTTCTCACTCACTGACCAGTAGTTAGGGCTGAGCAGGTCCTGGTGTGCGTCGAGGAGCGTGTAGATGCCCCTGTCCGCCAACATGTCCACCACCTGCCGCTCCCTCTCCAAGTAAGTCATGTTGTACTTGCCCTGCTCGTAGGGCTCCACACCAGGCCACGCCAGATTCACTGCATTAAGACACAATACATACACACACACACACACACAGCCACTGCGTCCGTGTGATCCTTTTTTCCTCTTTTGCTCATTCGTCCCACCCACACCACACTTACGTCGGACCATGTTGAAGCCCCAATCCCTCAGCTGATCCATCTCCTCCGCCGTGAGCGAGTCATGCTTGTGAAAGGTGTCGGTGCGGGGCACCCAGGGGGTCTTCTTGATGACCACGTTGAGGCCGTGGAAGATCCGCACACGGCCATACGCGTCAACCAAAGACCTGTTCACACAGACAGATGAGATGAGATGAGATGACGTCAGTCGAAACAGAGCCATTGGTGGAAGCATTGGGTGAGCTCACCTGGTGCGAGGGTCGATGCGGATGTTGCTTGCGATATCGTTGGCATGAGCAAGGGCCAGAGCAAGGGCGATGCAGCAGAGAAAAACGACAATCGCTGCCATATGAGAAAGACGACCAAGGGCAGCGAGGGCGAGGAGTGGCGGGAAGCAGACAGACGTGCACAATGGACGCGCCCGCACGTCTTTCGCGCTGCGTTCTCGCTCGCTTTCTTTTTTCCGTGAAACCGCTTTTTCTACAGCGTGACAACGGTCAATCTTCGGCTGAAGCCTCCACGCCATGAGATAAGCAGCCACTTCATCGCTGGCTGACAGTCGAGGCTGCTGAAGCCTCGCCATGAGATAAACAGCCACTTCAGCGCTGGCTGAAAGAGGCACACCACTCACCTGCGGGAGCAGTCGGGCCCGGTTTATAACATCACTCAGAAGGGGAGGGGGATGGCGTCCATCGCAGGTGCCATTATCGCAGGTGCAATCGCAGGTGCAGTCTGTCTGTTGGCTGCCGTGCCGAGGGCTTCATCAGGTGGGTTGGTGGGTGGGGCGATGGACACGGCACTCACACCAACATGGAGAGCCGATTGGTGGACGTGCTCTGACGTGCGAATGCGGTGTCTGCAGTGTCTGCAGGACAGGTGTCCGGCTGCGTGTTGGACGAAGGGATTGATTACATTGCGGCTGATCTCACTGGCGCGTGGAGAGGATACCCCACGTCACAGTCATGTGAGCACACGCGAACCTTCCATGGCCGTCTTGTGTATATGTCTATCTCCCGGCAGGTGCCGATTGGTGTGCTATCACCGTTGGCTGTGGCTACTGGACGCACCTCGTCGTGTATGCCGTCCACAGGGACACTGGCGATGGCGCGTGCTACCTCAAGGCCACGAAGGGCACGTTGCTGAAGCAGACGGAGGATGACTTGCTCACCAGATCAATCACCAGCGGCACACGGGCATGTGGCACCCCATCCGAACCAAGTGCCGGTGAGTGAGGCAACAGAGAAAGGCATGCAGAGGAGCCACATCATTGTCTGTTCCGTGTGGCCTCTGTCTGTGTGTGTGTGTGTGTAGATGGTGAGGGCGCCATATCATGTCGTACGGGGCCGCCTCCATTGTCGACTGACGAGGCGTCAGATGAGCGGGGCCACGGTGCCGAGAACCAGACACTGAGCGCCTCGTCCATCGACGACATCGATATCTCATCAACCAACGACACGGCCTCGGTCGTCCTTGAGAGTGAGTCCTTGCCGGAGCAGCCACCCGTCGCTCAAGCCGCCACCAATGGCTCATCGCCATCCACAGGAGTCGACCGACACCGAGACATAGAAGAAGAGACCTCCGCTCCGCTGCCTGTCGTCATCCGACCTCTCGACAAGAATTCTTCTCTGTCCCATGGGCCGCAGCGCGAGAAAGCGATTAAGTCCCTCAACCCATCGGCGTCAGACGACCACGCCCCGCCCCCCTCCCCCTTCTCTCTGCACTCGCCCTGGGTATGTGTGGCTGGCGGCACGGCAGCAGGGTGCATGCTAGCCTTGGCAGCGGTGCTCGTCGTGCTCACCTGGAGGAAGGCCAGGATCATGCACCGGTGCAACAGACAGACGAGCATGGCCATGGCGGGGACGGCCCCTCTTTCCTCTGTCATGTGCTGTGTGGACGGCTATGGGCACCGCAGCAGTGGCCAGCGACAAGAGCCGAGGGATGATGACGATGGTGCGGGGGTGGGGGTGCTTGGGGTGGGGGGAGGTCGGGTGGAGAGTTCCTTGGGTACCCCGGTGACTAAGCTGAGGCGGGAGGCGACGTGGGATTGAAAGGAAAGGTCAGCTTAGGTCAGGTCTGGTGCCGGTGGGCGAAGCCAGCTGTGACGTGGTGTGGCATAAGTTGACTAAGTTGACGTAGCGAACGGGCCGGGTGTTTCTTAGTTGGTTGCATGATAGCTATGGCATTATTTGTAAGAATAGGTCGGGCGGTTGGTCGCCCTAGCGTGTGTGTGTGCGTGGGTGTGAATGGACAGACACCTGGACTGGATACATACGAATGAGTTTACATGATATCGATACAAACGCAGCCAGCGGTCTGTCTAGGTGAGTGACATGTCCCCATCATGGCAGAGAGAGAACCAACGTACCGTCCTGACACAGCTTGGCGTCCTCGTGTGTCTCACGCAGGGACGCCAAGCCCGGCGGACGGAAGGGATCTGAGGGGAACACACAGCTAGTTTTCAGCATATGGGGAGAAAGATGGTGGCTTTTTAAATTTGATGGACCATACGGCTTTTTGCAATGGAAAGATGTCTTTCTGAGTGGCGAGATGTCTGTCTGCAGCGGCTGTTGGATTTTTGCAGCGGTTGCTGTCTCCGGCCGATCGCTATCTTTTGAGCTCGCCACCGCCTTCTCTCTTTTGGCGTGTATAGAAGGAATAGGCACGTTATTTCCTGCATCCGGGTGAGCATGGACGACGAATTGCTCGAGGTGGACCTCTCCCACCACAGAATTGATGACTTGAGGCCTCTGGAACTCCATCGCAGCCCTGTGACGCTCACCCATCTTGATCTCTCCAACAACAGGATACAAAGCCTCGCAGGTGAGACCAGCAGCCGCTTTCCATGCACACATTGCCACTTGGATGCATCGGGATGCATTTCTGTGCATTTTCCTTCAGAGCTCCGCCACTTGCGTCATCTCGTCAGCCTCAACCTCAGCAATAACCACATCACAACTCTGCTGGTCCAGCCGTCGCCATTGAGCCTCTCCATGTATCCCTCGGGCCCCTCGGGCACTCCAGACGCGGAGCACAGCACTCCAGACTCCGCTCTCGAGGCGTGTTCGAGAGGCCTCAGGCGATTGGATTTGTCGTCGAATCGACTAGGAAGCCTTCGGGGCTTGTGGCCATGCCGCATGCTGGAGCGGCTGTCGGTCAGAAGGAACAAGATATGGCAAGTAGAAGACCTGGAGCCGCTGCAGAGGTGCGCACATGCAAACGATGAGTGCATTCATTCATTCATCTCTGTCTGTCTGTGTCATCACACATCCTGTTTGGTGTCTGTCGGCCTTCCTTCCTGCTGCAGGTTAGTTTGGCTCGACTTGGGCCACAACTCGCTGGCATCCCCTTTGTCGTTGCGGCCTCTATCGCTCAACACATCCCTGGTGGACCTGGTGCTGGAGGGCAACCCCCTCACCAACTCGCCCACGCACCGCGCCACCCTCATCAACTTCCTCCCCTCGCTGCACTCCCTGGACGGCAAGAAGCTGTTCAACGCCACACAGGCGCGCATCCGACGCTCCCTCCCGCCACCACCGCAACAGCAACAGCAGCGTGTGCAGCCTCCCGCCCTCACCCCTGCTGCCACACACAGCCAATCAGTGACCGAGAGGGTGCGGCCATCTCCGTTCGCTGAACGGCCGATGCACGTCAAGGGGTCGGCGGATGATGAGGGCCGGCGGCCGGACATCATCTCTCAGCCACGTGATGCGTCAGACGAGCTTCCTCCGGGATTGTTTAAGCAGCCCTATACTGCGCTAGTGAAGGAGCTGATGAGGGAGCGTCATACGTATGACGACCAGTGGCCAAAGAGGAGGGCGGGAGGGGGGTCGCCGAGCAGCCCAGTAAGCGAGCCAGCGGCCAGGGCTGATGGGAGAAAGCCGTCGAAGGCGCACTACACGCCCTTCTTCGGCCGCCGCAAGCTGGGACTGGGCCTGCCGTCCCCCTTCGTCTCTTATCGCGAGGTGTCGTCCCGCAGTGCGTGTGTGTCGCCCTTCCAGTCCGCACGAGAGGACCTCGACGGCATGATTCCGCGCAGTCAGTCGATGCCGGCGCTGCCCCGGTCGCGGGCTGCGATGGCCGCGCGGTCGCCTGCAGTGGTGGGGGAGAGGAGGCCGGGATCTAGGATATCTCCTACGCCTTTCACGCCGACGATGGCCACGCTGGATACTAACATGGAGGGAGGTGAGCGAGCGAAGAAGGAAAACCAGCCATAGGATCTTCCCCTGTCACTGTCGATTTGTGTGGTCTTCAGAAGTGCCTCTCCTCCGGGTGTACCTCCCTAGCTCTCGCAGCAGCCAGCCCTCCCCCTTCTCGAATCTCCGGGCCACTCCCCCATCTAGAATCCGCTCGTCATCCCGGACATCCCCCACTCTCCCCCTTCCGTCGACCCGTAAATCGTCCCGTCCAGCCACGCCGACGTCCACCACAATTCGCCAGAGGACACTACCTCCCAAGAGAACGTCGGAGCCGCCCGACAGGAAGGCGGGCTCTCGTCCTGCTGGCCAGAAGGTGGCTGCTGCACGGGATGAGGATCGACCTTCGGCGCCTGGCGAAAAGGGTGGGGTGCGGGGGGTGGACATGGCAAAGGCTGCCGTCAAGAAGGCCTTGATAGCGGAAAGGAGTGTCAGGGCTCCCATGAGGGGACAGCCACGTGACGACGTCCGACAAGTCGAGAAGGACATCGTTGCACCTCACCAGCTGGCGAGCAGCGCTTCGCTCGCCGCCCAAGCCAGCCATGCGATGAGCAGCCCCTCGACCCCACCTCCCATACCCCCACCTAAGCCCTTCGCAACCAAGGGTCGCTCCAGCCCCGTTCGTCTGCGCATCGCCGGCCCCCCTCAGTCCCCTGCAGAGGGCAAAGATCCGCTGGCAGTGGCACCGCAGCAGTCGGCCTTGCTGTGGTCCATCAAGGCGCGAGCAGAGCGGCTGGCGGCCAAGTACCACAGAAAGACGTACTTCCGCTCCAGCCCCCATCCAGAGAGGGAGTGGCTCCACCGTCGACATGCCCCCGCCTCGCCGTCGCCATGCTCGAGCCAGAGGGGCCCCTTCGCCACTCCACCCCCGTCAAAGCAGCGAGACCATGGCGGCACCAGGGTGGCTTCTGCTCATGATGCTGATGCTGCCACCAACCCATGGGGATCGACACCGCAGTCCTGTCCGGCTGTGTGTCGCGTGCCGGATATGCGTGAGAGGCGCGGAAAGGCCGATGTCGATGTATCTGTTCCGCGTTGCATCGAGGCAGCGACGGCTCTGATGGAGCGGATGTCCCCGTATCTGGGGGGGAGGGGTCCGGGGCAGTCGGCAGAGAGGCGGGAAGAGACACAGTGAGTGGTGGTAGCGGGTGGGGGATGGATGGATGACTGTGTTGGATGATAGGATAGATGGATGGACTGCGCCAACAGATCTGAGTGAGGTTTTCCATAGCCCACCCGAAAGACTATGGAGAAATTTGCCATTCATTGCCGAAAAGGCAACATGTATGTTCATCCTCTCCTCGGATCTGGCCAGGTGATGGAGGTGATGGAAGTACGTGAATTGGGGGGGTGGACTTGCTGTGCAATCATATCCTGATTGATGCTGGCTGGGACGTCAGATGAGTGTGGATGTGCACGCCGGCTGCATCCTTCTTTCAGCTTTTTCATTCATCTTTTCGATGACAGAAGTGTGGCATTCACACACAACACACACGCAATCAATGGGTCTGTCGTCTACTCCCTCCCTCCCTCCCTCCCTCACACGCACACCCGCCCGCACTGACCTGGGCTGGCGTCGCACGACATACTGACCCAGACAAACACGCAAACTCTCATATGTCCGTGTCGCCGCCCCCGATGTATCCCCAAAGACGCACAGGCAACTCACTGCAGAAACTGAGCTGTTCCTCCAACGAATCGCAATCTTCTCGGTGTCTCGGTGGGCCACGCACCTCCCCATCACCCTCGCACCTGAGAGCGTCAGTACGGCTCAGGCTTGTGGGTGAAGGGGAAGTCTTTCACCCACCCAGACGCCGAGAGGAGCGACACAGAAACGGAAACAATGCCTCCAAGCAGGGACATCCAACCGCACTGGCTGCCCACACCACAACGGTCTCTGTCCTCCCATTCAGTACACGCAGTACACGCAGCCTCATCGATCATGTCTTGACGACGCGTGACGCCGTCACGACACAGACAGGCAGTCATGTCGCTGCAGCGTCTGTGTGTCCCAGTAGGTCATCCGTGGTGCCGTCATCGTCACACCTGAGACGCACCGGTGAGAGCGCCGGTGCGTCTCAGGCTTCACGGTGGCGACATCACGTCCAACCCACCGGGACCCCGGGACAAGCGACAACACAATGCACAGACAGACAGACAGGTCCTTAAATCGACACGACCGCTGCTCACCCACAGCCAGACATGTAAAACGTCTTGTCGTCCGGCGATCATCATCACTGCCTGCCCTACTGCACTTCCCGCCTCCCCTCCCCTCTCCCCTCTCCTCAATCACACCAACAACACGTGATGTGTGACTTTGTGTACGTATTCATAGCATGCATCACTTGGTATGTAAGTGCGTGTGTGTGTGCATGTTTGTATGTAAAAGGGCAGTGAGTGAGCAGCATACAGAGCATCAGCAAGCCTCCCTCCCACACCACAGATGGAGGGAGGGAGGCTTGCTGCCTTGCTTGTTGGCTGCCTTACTGCCTGCCTGCCTGCCTGCCTTCGCATGCCATCCCTACGTCGGGTGACACCACGACAGACACATAAAAATCCCCCCGAAGCCAAGCCAAGCCAAGCCATACAGACCAAGACCAAATCGCAGACCAGAGTCACCAGCCCAGCACCCCTGCCACCCTGCCCTGTTCTCCGTCTCCGTGTGTCGCTGTCTAGGGCTGGCTGACATGACACACGCCCTCATGACTGAAGGTCACGAACGACGACACACCGCGACGCGCAGACCGCACAGTTAAACTCCGCAACACCTCACGGAACGACGGGACGCGGCCGGCAACGCTCTCCATTGGCACACACGGCTGGCCGGGCCTGCTCACTGTGAAGGCCTCAGACTGGGATGCTGTCACACACACAACATGCAGAAGGAAGGGGGATATGATGCGGCTTGTGTCGCTTCGTCCTCTTTCTTTTCTCGTCTTTTGTACCTGGCACGGTGATGCAGTAAGATTCGGGCTCATCCGAGCCTCCCCGCGTCTGTGCCGCCGCCAGCCTCCTCCGTCTCTCGCCCTCCCCGTCAGGCCGGCCAGCCCGCCGCAGCTCTAACCGAGCCGCCCGACCACTCACACTCCCCTCATCTGGCTCCTCGTCTCCTTTGCCGCCCTTGCGACGAGACACAAATTGCCTCAACGAGTCCAGGGAGGCCACACTGCCGCACAGAAACCGGTCGACGCCGTCGCTCCGCGCCCCTCCACTCCCCTGCCACGCTCGCTGCGCAAGGCTGCGCGACGTCGGTGCGCTGGTGTATGTGGGCAGCTCTCGGACCGGGTGCCCGCCGTGTGAGACGCTCCACAGCCGGACGACGCCGTCAGATCCGGGGAAGACGAGCAGGCGCTCCTGCGCGTCGAGAGTGAACTTGCGGAATTCGCCAGTGTTCGTGTTGCCACAATATGTGCGAAAGCTCGGCAGAGAGGCCGGGGAGGGGGAGGGGGAGGGAATGGGCGACAGTGAGGGAGAGGGGGATGGTCGCCTGTTGGTACGTGTGGGTGGGTGGTCGCTCATCTCGTCTTCGGCATTGCCGTCTTCATCTGAGGAGGTGTCGCTCTCATCCCCTCGCCCCGCCAGAGGGGCCGGCTTGGACCGTTTCTGCCACTTGGCAGCCCGCCGACCCCTCTGCCGCCCGGCCGTCTCTTTGTGACCACGCTTGTGCGGCGATGAGGGGCCTCGATCTCGGCTCGTGAACAGCGTGACAGCACCGGCGTCGCTCCTATCGCCCCTGCGGCAGAAGCGCATGTCGCGCATGGCGATCCGGCCGTCGACGTGTGAGACGATGAAGATGTGTGGGAGGGTCTTAAGGGGCTGCACACATGAGGCGGCGGTGGGCGAGGAAGACAGGACGGAGGCTGAGCCGCCCCGCGAGTGACCACAGCTGACAGAGGGGCCCAGCACAGCGAACCTGTCACACACGCATCCGTGACAGAAACGATTGTTTGCTCATTGTCAAGACCAATTTGCTTGTGTTGTGTGTTCCTTCCTCACCGGTTGTCGAGGCGCGTCCTCGGGACGATCGGCCGTTGCCTGTTGCCGCCCCTCTCCACCCGCCCACGCCCAGCACCCACCGCCCTCTCTCGCCGCATGTCGCCAGCAAGACAGACGGGGGGCTGCTCAGGCGATGCGCGTGTGTCCCACAGCAGGACATTGCCGCTCCGATGTGCGGTGATGAGTGTGTTTTTGTCGGAGGGCAGGGAGGCGACGTGGAGGACGTCTGAGTATCTGTGCCGTGGGTGCCACACCTGCTGGGACTCGTGGAGGTCGTACACGCCCAGACCAGTGCCGCCGAGCACCAGACGGTTCTCATCGGCCTACGTGCAACAAGACCAGGAACGACAAACAGGCCATCACCAGGCGGGGGGTCCATCCATTTATCTACTTGTGTTTTCTCGCTCACCTGGAGATCTAGGTCAAAGAGGGCGTTGCCGAACTCCATGCGTCCCATCTGTCTGACGAAGTCGTGGAAGGGCAGGGAGTCGAAGTGTGTGAAGTTGATGAGATGGCACTCGGCCGGGGCGCCGCCGTCGCCCACACTGCCGATGGCGAGCCAGTTGGACGAGAACTGGAGGCACGTGACTTGCGAAAGAGAATAGCAGGACAGGTAGGTCGTCTGGTCACGGGGAATCGACCTGAGAGAAAGAAAAGGGGATACAATACACGTGGATGTGGTGTCGTCTGGGTCAGTCAATCCACGAGCGTGTCTGATCTGATGGTTTGGTCTTACTTGGCGTCGTCGATCCGTGAGATGTACACAGCAGGCCCATGGCTCAAGCACACACGAGGGCAGGCCGTCTCGCTGTCGGACACCCGCACAATGCTCCCAGGTGCACCGCACACAGACGACCCCTCACACCGATACCGATAAACCCCACACCCATAGTAATGCGAATTCAGCCAGCTGCCGCTCGAACCGCTGCCGTACTGCCGACTCGCCGACAAGCCGTCGAGACCCCTCCGCCGCCTTGATAGCACGCCATAGAGGTTCACCAATGGCTGTGGCGGGCCAGGGCCTTCATCGGGCGGCTTGTCGAGCGATGAAGGGCCACCTGTGGGGGCTGTGGTTGCCGCAGGTTGGCTCTTGGGCTTGAGGGCGATGGGGAAGTAGCGTTTTTTCTCTTCGTCCCAGTAGAGACCAGGAAGACCTTTCGGCATCGCGATGTAGCATATGAGCGCAGTAGACGAGAGTCGCCGGCGTCCCAATAGGGATCAGAAAGGGAAACGACGCGATTGCTTCTCGAAATGGCGAGCTTCAAAAGCTTTTCAAGCTCGCCTTTTGCCCAAGAGTCTTCCGAAGTGTAGGCGTGGTGTATGGTACGCCGCGGCGCTTGCCTCTGAGCGCCGTTCGCTCAAAGCTTTTCATTTTTTGCTCTGCGGTGCATCGAGTTGGGCGCTGAGTGAGCGGCGGCGTGGCGTTTCTGGTTGGATGCCATGGCGGAGTTGCACGCAGACAGGGAGGCGCTGAGCAAGCTGACGATAGCGGACCTCAAACTTCACCTGCGGGACTACGGCCTGCCCAGCGGCGGCAACAAGACGGACCTCATCGACCGCCTCTATGACGCCATCAGACAGGGGCACAAGAAACACTCCCCCAAGCCAGAGAGACGCAGGTCCGCACACAGCCGAATAAGGGAGAAAAATGGCGGCAAGATTGATGGATGAAAGATCCTGTGGATGTCCATGTGCAGCGCTCGTCTGCAGGGGAAGGAGCCGGTGGATGCGAGCAAGCAGCAGTTCAGGGGCTTCCTGCAGAATCTGCTAATCATCATCCTGCTGGCCGTCCTCTACTGCGTGGCCTTCTACTTCGTCTTCACCAAGGTGTCTGACGTGCCCGCGGCCGACCGGCAGAAGCTGTACAACGCCGCCCTCGACCTCGGCAACGAGCGGCTCACCAAGTGGCAGCGTGTCATGAACCTCAAGCTGGCCGCCGAGCAGTTCGCCACCACCCACCCACTGTGGGTGGTCTCGCTCATGACGGGGGCCTACATCTTCTTCCAGACCTTTGCCGTGCTGACGCTGTGGATCCCCGGCACCACCACGGCCATCACCGTGGTGGCCGGCGCGCTCTTCGGGTGGTGGCCCGCCCTCGCCCTCTGCTGCGTCTTGTCGACGGTGGGGCCGATGTGCGCCTACGGGCTGTTTTATTTCGTGGGCCGGCCTGTGGCGCTGTATTTGGGTTCGGGGAAGATCGAGAAGTTCAAGAAGCACGTACACGAGGTCCGGGACGGGCACATGATGGCCGTCATGTTCGGGCGGGTGCTGCCGGTGTTCCCCAACTTCCTCGTCAGCATGGCGGCTCCCATCGTCGGGATCGGCATCCTACCCTTCACACTCGGCACCTTCATCGGCCTCATTCCCAACAACATGATGTGGGGTGAGTGAATGAGTGAGTGACACACGGCCACAGTGACCTCTCCTCGATCAGACGCGCCATCCGTATTCCTTTTCCCTCTGTGTGTGTGTGTGTGTGATGTGTCAGTGACTGTGGGTCTCTCGCTGAAGAACCTGGACCCCTCAGCGGGCCTGAAGCTGCCCGCGTCCCAGATGGTGCTGTTGTGCGTGATAGCCATGTGTGTGCCGCTGCCGTACCTCATCAGGCGGCAGTACGAGACCAAGACCGGCCTGTTTAAGAAGAAAAAGCGACACGGGGGGGCGGTGGCGCCCACCAAGGGTGGCACCGCCGAACCAGAGGCAGAGGAGTAGACAGACAGACACGCCGGAAGACAGACAGAGAGACAGAGACGGACGGACAGGTGCGTAGAGATGATGGGTAGACAGGTGTGTGTATATGGGGGGCCGTGGGTGGGGGCATGGCGTGTATTGGGCAGGGCAGCGGCAAGGGAGGAGTGTGTAAGGCTTTAGATGTCTGTCTGTCTGTGTACAGGTCTGGCTGGGGGCGGGCGGTGCCACATAACTAACATACACAAACAAAACCTTTCATGTGTTGGTTTGCTTGCTTGTGTGTTCTCTATCTGTCTTATCATCTATCTCGGGCGGCCTGCCGTCCTCCGGTCTTCGCTGCTCTGCCCCAGCTGCCCACCTGCTATCCCACTCTTGTCTAGTCTCTCTCGGCTGTGTCTGCGTGTCCGTGTGTGCGCGAGGACTTTATTTGTTTGTACTGGTCGATGAATCAATCAATGGATGTTTGCGTGTCGCCCGCTTGACGCGAAACAACTTCCACCACTTGACACGGCACCACCAGGCCGTCACGTCACATCACGGCAGCACCTCTCTCAGCAACTACACATCAAGGATGGATGGATGGATGTCTTCCGTCATCCTACAGCCATTTGTGGCCTCACTTGTGAGACTTGTATCGTGTACCACGACGGAAGTACCACGAGCGAGCAAGCCACACAAGGGTGCAAGATGATGATTGCAGGCAGCATCGTACACACACTGGACTGGAAACAGACGTGGCTTGCTCACCTTCTCACAATAAACTTTCTCGCAACACGTGGGCGTCTCTCTTCGCTTCCTCTATGTCTGCCTGTCTGCCGCTGTGACGGGAGTGAGTTCCTCCTGGTTGCTATCATCGCGGCGTTCCTGGGCTTCCGATTCCCAGGAGCACCACACTGAAAGCAACCAGAAACAACTTCCCGAGCGACGGCAGCGGAGCAGAAACATACCTACGGCTGCCTGTATGTACACTCACTCAGTCATCTCATTCACTCGCAGCCCTTACACACACACACACGCACTTACAAAAGGGCGTGGCGTGGCGTGCGCAGATGAAGACAGACAGACCCACAGACACACACATCCAAACGTCCACGAGGCCTCGCCTTTCTCCCCCGCACCAGACAGACCATGTGCGGCAGTCAGTCACAGTCAGTCAGTCTTTGAAGACCTTGGCCCCCCCGGGGCGGAAGTCCGGGTTGATCTGTCGGCGCCCTCTGCCCTCGTGCTCGCTCAGGTTGTTGATGCGCGCCATGTCGTCAGCTGAGAGCTGAAGGTCAAACACCTGACACACACACACACACACACACGGACGGAGAAACGGAGAGAGAGATGCCTTTGGTGGGGGTCCGGTGCGTGTGTGTATCTGGTCCGTTTGTTGTGCCGCTGACTGACCTTTGAGTTTTCGACGACTCGTGATGGCGTGACGCTCTTGGGGATGACAATCACGCCCCGCTGGAGGTTCCAACGCAGACATATCTACACACACAAGGTGGATGGATGAGACAACACGGACGGCAGAGGCCGTGAGAGTCGCAACGCATCGATCCCGTCCCGCATCGGCCCGGGCAAATGAAATGGTATGTACCTGCGCGGGCGACTTGCTGTATTTGTTGCCGAGGTCGCATATGAGTGGGTCGGTGAGGGCCGTCGGGCCGTCGGTGTTGACGTTGCCCAGCGGGCTGTAGGCCACCAACTCGATGTTCTCAGACTGACAGACGCAGGCATGCATTGCATACACACACACGTGTCCGTCCACTGGTGGGTGCCCTATCTGTCTCTTGCCGCGTGTGTGTTGTGTTGTGTTGTGTTGTGTGGCAGGCACCTTGAGGAAGTCTCTGAGAGCGTGCTGTGGGAACAGAGGGTGGCACTCGACCTGGTCCACCACCGGGGGTATGTCACAGTTGTCCAAGATCAACTTGGTCTCCTGAAACATCGCACGCACAACACACCCACCCACCCACACACCCATCAGAAGAAAGCACATGTGCTGCTTTCCCCTCCCCTCCCTACCTCTATATTGAAGTTGCTCATGCCGAGTGTCTTAACGAGTCCCTCGTCGACCAGCTTCTCCATCGCACGCCACATGTCGGTCAGCGCCACATCGGCCACGCGGATGACGCCGTGCTCGTCCTTGGGCATGGGGTCCGAGTAGACATCGGTGGGCGCCATCGGGCACGGCCAGTGGGGCAGGTACTGGTCGACATAGTCGAGCCGCAGATCGTTCAAGGTTCTCTGCAGCGCGGGCTTGACGTCCTCAGGGCGGAACTTGGTGCCTGCACCTCTCACACAAGAGAGTGTCTGCCTGCCTGCCTGCCCATCCACTTCACTTACACCAGAGCTTTGAAGTGACCCAGAGCTTGTCTCGGTTGATCTTGCCGGCCTGCAGCGCCCTGGCGATGCCCTCGCCCACCTCGTGCTCGTTGTTGTAGACGGCCGCGCAGTCCAGGTGGATGTACCCGTTGCTCAGGGCACATTCCACCGCCTCTGTCACTTTGTTGGGCTCCGACCGCCATGTGCCAAGGCCGAACGCGGGCATGCCTTGCGTCTTCCCTGCTCGCAGAGGGATCCTCGTCTCAATATTCAGATCCATCGCTGCCAACGCGTCGTGGAGGTCACGCGTGTGTGTCTGCGGCTGAGATTGAGATGTGGAAAGGTCGAAAACAAAACACGGAGATCTGCAGGGGTCAGTTTCACGAGAGCTCTACCCGGCGATGCAATACATGAAGCGTCGACGGCTCTTCAAAAAAACTGTCTATTCCGAGACACAAGACAAGTCAGCATGTGCAGTAACAACATCACGGACAGACACGAGAGCTGTTATTCAGAGATACAAGACGATATATATATATCTAACATAACACTATCATGGACAGACCTGCGAAAGCAGACACGCACCACATGAAGAAGAGCAGATAGATACGACCAAATGAACGTGTGAGTACATGTATATGTACATTACAAAGACTCACACGCACGGCAGACCGCAGAGCATCAGGGCCACAAGCATCATGAGTGCTCAAACATGCAGAAGAAGCACAGAGTGATAAGCGCGGCTACTCAGAGCGATGATACCGCATGTATTCGATGACATGCAGATGTCGCACAGCCGCATTCGCACAGGCCATTTGCTCGTCCTCGTCAGCAGGCTCACGCCTTCGATGAACAGTGCGCTGCTGACGAGGACCACGACCCCGAGCATGGGTGAAGGCCAGCCGCTGCTGCTGCAGCTGTCGAGGGCTCGCGAGTGGTGTGGACTGGTCATGTTCAGGACCATCATGGCGGCGATGACCTTGGTGCCGTGACACTCGAGCGCCGACATCATCTGACGCACACACACACACACAAACACACACAGAGAGAGAGAGAGAGAGAGAGAGAGAGAGCTGCCGTGGGTATGTGTGTCACGTCGTGGTGTGCTGTGTGCTGTGTGCTGTGTGTGCCTTGCCTGTCGATGCTCAGCATCCCGTGGGATCTGGCCTGAGCTTCCGGACAGCCTCCGGGACCTTGTCCATCGCTTTCTCCATCTCCTTCGTCCGCATCCGGTCCTCCTCCACAAACTCCCGCTCTACTGTAACAGACGACTGAGAACTGCCCATCTTCGCGAAAGGATCAGGTTTTGTACACCCTAGCACACGGTTATCTTCGTGTGTGTCTGCGGCCGGCTGAGATTGAGATGCGGAAGCCCCGGAAAGGCGGAAGACAAAAAAAGGAGATCTCCAAGCCAGGCTTGCGCGCGGGTGCTAGTGTTCTCCCTGAAACCGGTGCAACCGTTACGGGTGAACAGCGTGTGTGATTCGCACCTTGATCAGCAAGCAAGGAGGGCACCTGAAACACTGCAGCGAGGTCAGCCGGCTGGCGGAGGAGCGGCTGTCGGGAACGCCATGCCGAAACGGAGAAGATCTCGCCTTTGCGTCGTGGGGATGACGCTGGCCTTCCTGAGCCTGACAGCTGCTGCCGTGGAGGACGCCCCCTTCCTCCAGCCGGTGAACGACCAGCAGCAGCCATCGGAGCAGCAGGCCAGCCTCCCATTTCTGGTGGAGAACCTGGTGGACTACCTGACGGCACTGCGGGAGAGCGAGAGGCTGACGAGGGAGGAGGAGACGATTTGCTATGACGGCAGCTCAGACGGCAGCGAGCTGCCGTCGGTGCTCTGTGGAAAGGTCAACTCGTACCTCGCGGCTTCACCGTGGCCGACCAGCCACAGGACGCCGTACTCGTAAGCATCTAGATAATTGTCTTCGAGGACGCTCAATGCGGGTGTCTGTGTGTGATTGCAGTCAGGGGTCGACTCCACTGCGGTCACTGGAGGAGGCCGATGCCGATGAACTCCAACATGACTTCCTCAACGAAGGCTTCCTGGTAGGCAGTGGTGGCGTGTGGCATGACGGTGTGGGTGTGGGTGTGGGTGCGGGTGTGGGTGTGGATGGCCGTCGCGCTCCTCTCCTCTCCTCTGTGTGTGTGTTTAGGTGCTGAATCCCATCAATCTGTTCTATACCGAGGACCTCAAGTACCTCTGGGGGTCATCCTGGACCACTGTGTGAGCCAACAAGACAGCAACCGTGCTTGGGCCTGCCTGTTGCCCCATCGCATGGCTGGCCTTGTTTGTTTGTCTGGTGGGGCAGGTTCAAGATTGACCGCACCGGGCCGGAGATGCGGCTGGCGGGATTTGTGGAGAAGCCCGTCGAGGACATTTTTGGCGATGTGAGTGAGACGCACTGTCCGGCACGGAGAAACGCGTGAATGAGGCTTGTGGTGTGCTGGTGGTCCATGCAGGTCTTCCACGGGGCCTATTCGCTGCTCTCCCACGAGGTATGTGCTGCAGGCACACACACGACTGACTGACTGACTGACTGCCATGCAGCCATGGGTGGTGGTGGGGTGGTGTGGTGTGGTGTGTGTGCAGGGTGTGTTCTTCACAGCCACTGGTCTGCGGATCGAGGCCTACCTGGACGACACGACCAAGCTGCCCTTGGGCGACCACATCAAGCGGCACCCCAAACCCTATGTGTTCGCAGAGGGGTCCGAATCCAAGAAGGAAGTCATCCGCGCTCTACAAAGTGAGACAGACGCGATAGCAACGAACACCCCTCCCCCCCCACACACACACACACAGAGTGTCCCATCCCTCGCTCACCCCATGTGTGTGCATCTGTCTGTCCATCCCTGCAGTGACATACGACGGCCGTCTCGCCTTCGCAACCAACCTGGGCAAGGTGGGCGTGACGGAGAGCAGCATCTTCGACCCATCCAGGATGTTCGGCGGCCGCAACACGCTGGCATACCTCCAGCTGGGAGAGGGAGAGGACGACACTGAGGTCTCAAACAACATACAGGTGCGAGGAAGAGGACCGTGAGCGTCTTCTGTTTCTTGCAAGGGGTGCCTGTGTGGTGTGTGTAGGTTGACGAGGACGGCGGCATCTATGTGGTGAGCAACAAGAAGCTGCACAAAGTGGTGTGGGACCCCAAATCGATGGAGCTCACGCTGGCCTGGGAGACCCCTTACAAGACGACAGCGGGGAACCAGCTGTCGCGACTCGGAGAGGTCACAACCACACACACACCCACACACCCACCCACACACCCACACACCCACACACACACCCACACACCCACACACACCCACACACAGCGACGATTTATTAGCTGTCTTGTGTTGTGCTGTGCTGTTGGTGTCTGCAGGGAAGCGGCAGCACGCCGAGCATCATGGGCGACAAGAATGTGGGCCGCTATGTCGTTATTACTGACGGGCAAAAGCTCATGCATGTCGTCGTCTTCGACGCTGGTCGGTCGGCACCACACACACACCAATCCATCCAATGCACGCAGACATATCAATCACATGATGACTGACCCTGCCCCCTTTCTCTCTCTCCCTCTCTCCAGAGACCGGCAAGATCTGCGACCAGTATCCCGTCACATTTGGCGGTGAGCCTGGAAAGACCTGCAAGCACCCACCCACCCCACCATCTCTCTCGATGCCACCCATGTGTGTGTGATGTGACTGCCCCCGATGCTGCACAGACCCCTGGGCCGAGTCGTCCGTCAGCGAGCAGTCCGTCCTTGTCAACGGCTGGCGGTTCGCCGTGGTCAACAACGAGGTGACGCGACAGAGGTGGGCGACGATCCGAAACCTCGACAGATACAATTTCCTGGCCGAGAGTGAGGGCGAGGCCGTCAACAACACGGGCATGGTGGTTGAGGCCGAGGGCCGGGTGGTCAGGGAGATATTCAGGACATCGGGGCTGCGCGAGCGGCGGCCGCTGCTGCTGGGCAAACCGGCCACTGTCATCGATGAGCCTGGTGGGTCAGTGAGAAAAGAAAGGACTCCCTCCCTCCCCATGCCATGCACTCACTGTGTCCTTTCCCTTCCCGTCGATTATTGCAGACAATGTGCTGTTCGGCATTCTGAGAAACCAGGTGCAGCCAACGAGGCCTTATGGCGTCCATCCTGGCCTCTCTCTCTCTCTCTCTGTGTGTGTGTGTGTGTGTGTGCTGCAGTGGCCGGTGCTGGTGGGCGACGCGCCTTATGGTGTGGAGCAGTTTGAGTTCAACAAGTTCACCAACAGGATACGCTCCGTGTGGGCCAACCCGGACGTCTCCATACCCAACGGCATCCCCTGCATGAGCGCATCCTCAGGTCTGTCTGTCTGCTCGGCCGACCTTCCTGGCGCCACCCAGACACCAAATCCATCTCTCTCTCTCTCTCTCTGTGTGTGTGTGTGTGTGTTGGCAGGTCTGATGTATGGCGTTGGCAAGCGGCGGCTGCTCACAAACAGGCCGGCGGCACCCCTACAGGCAAGGATAGGATATCAACGCACACGACACAGACCCAGACAGAGACAGAGTCTTCATGCTCACGTGTGTATCTGTCTGTGATTGCAGGGCGTCTGGACGCTGGAGGCCCTCGACTGGAAGACCGGCGAACACGTCATCAGCCACCCCATCGGATCTGGTAGCCCATTCCATTCCACCCACAGCAATCATGTGTGTGTGTGTGTGTGTCTGTGACTATGTCGCATCGCATCGCATCGCATCTACTGCAGGCCCGTTCACCAATTCGGCGTATGCGGCGACCGAGATCGGCCCGGATGAGATCATCACCGGCACGATAGCGGGGATTGTGCGTGTGCGTCGGCGGCCGTGGTGGGGCTTCCTCAAGCCGCCGCCACTGGCGTCATTCCTGGAGGCCGAGGAGGCTGCTGGCGGGAATGACACGATCAGCCTGTAGAGCGAGTGCAAAACCTTAGTAGTGGCGTATTGGGGGCTATTGTATTGTGTTGTGTTGGCTTGTGCTCCGATATATGGGGCGCTGGGAGGGAGGGAGGGAGGGAGGGAGGTGTGAGTGAGTTTCTACACACACACACATACGTGTCAGTAATTGCCTAAGTAGATATGGTTGGACGCTCCGCGAGCGAAGCGAACACACGATGCGAATCTTTCGGCGTGACTTTTGCTGAGGGAGAGGGACAGGGAGAGGGAGAGAGGGGGAGACGTGGGCACTCGTCGGTAGGAATGTGTGGTTTTTTGTGAGGATGGATGGATGGGTGAATTCGTAACGAAGAAGAAGCTCTATATATGCTATTTGTCGCACTACCGTAGACAGAAGGCGGTGGCCAAAGGGCCGCCCACCAGTCACATAAGTGCCTGCCGTGCCGTCCGCAGCTGAAAAGATCCAATTGAGGTGAGCAAGCATTGTGGTGTGTGGCTCCCTTTGATTGATATGCTCAGCAATGTGTCTCCTCTCTTGTGTCTGTGTGTGTCTCAGGTACCCTTGCCGTCCCTCCCTCCCTCTCGTATGCGATGTGTGTGTGTGTGTACGCAACAAGACGACCATGTGAGTGCGCGTTGATTTATATAAGACAGACGGTGCGTGGTACGTAAGCGTAAGTATGTGTGTTGAATTGGCACGCACCACCAGTGTCTGCGAGTCAGTCCACCCCCACATACATACATAGGTCCGTCCCTCACCCACCACTGTTGCAGACCGAGACAGAAACACAGAAACTAGCACCCCCTAGGCGTGAAGGAGCCAAGCAAGTAGGTAGGTATGTAGAGTCATTGTTGTGGTTCAAAAACAGGGAGGGAGGGAGGGAGGGAGTCAGTGTCATACACACACAAGTGCCGCGCTAGCAGCGGGCAAAATGGCACCCGCGACCGATCGATGCACCCAACCAACCCCCCC